CTTTGTTAATTAGCTATCAGTCCAAGAACGCTTCTGCAATGGCCATTTAATAGCTTTACTATCCTCGAAGGCATTTGGAAAAGTTCAGTGTTTATCGGCTAAAAAATATTTTGGACCGAGTTTGCGGAAGGAAACGAAGCTCTCTTATTAAGCTATAGAAATATCGAGCATATATTTAAAACATGTTGATTAAAGGCGGATTAAAACGTCACTGAACAGAATTTTCCGGGTCAAGCAGAACATACTATTACTTGAGACTTACGCCATAGCTGCCAATTGAAAAGCCCCCTCTCTTGTTTCTCATACATTTGACCAATGAGTCATTTAAAATTAAAATTTCTTAAGGTTATAGAGGACGTGTAGGTAAAGGGAAGTTAAAGAAGGAGGGATGGTAGAGGGAAGGGTGACAGGGGACTGAGGAAAGAAAGAAAGATAAAGTCTACTATCATTATCAATTTAAAGCGAACCCTAATAAATTCAACATTTCAAGTAAAAAAAGGTAACAATTTACTGTGTTGCTTCAAAATTGGAGTGCATATTCTCCGATATTTTTTACCATGCCCACCGCTGATAATATTGAGAACTAAGGAGTGCTCTCGGCATTCAAGTAGCGCAAACTTGATGAATGAGTGGTAGATTACAGCTAATTTTGGCCACGAAGGAAACGAAAAAGAAGAGGTATCAGCCTATCATTGATCTCGTCTAGGATTCTAGTAGAGAAGTAAGTGTTTTCGAAGACCAGTATTCGTGTGAAGTTTTTAAGAGATTTCTTGCATATTAGCACATTTTTTGTAAATGTGAAGGTAATTATGCAGACTTCGTCTGCAGCGCAATGAGTCCATTGTTGAGAGATGTCAAGGAGGAAATAAATAATCAGGCCCGTAGCCAGACTTCAGAACAAGACGAGGCAACTTTCGGGTGCCGAAGGCCGAAGGCACGAATTCCGTGGAATTTTTCTTTAGAAAAGTCAAAAGGCAATTGCCGCGTCTTGCCCCATGTTAGCTTCGGCCCTAATAATCAGCAATATTTTCATTTTATCCTACCTTCAATTCCATTTGCTGAGAATGCCAAAAGTGGGAAGATTACATAGAGTAGTATTCCTTGTTTCAAGTTCATCTTAAAGCCAAAAGATAAACAGCAATACCAGACAAACTTGTTGACTGTTAACCCTCGTCGTTAATATTCTGAATAACCTCTGCGACTTTTTCCGCTTTGCTCGCCTCAATGTAGAGTTTTACACGGTTCATGTCC